CTCATGATAAATGGTTTCAATAAGCGAAATAAAAATGTAAATCCCAACAATTTTGGAAAAAGGGAATAATGAAGCTTTCTGAAAGATGAAAGAAAATGATAAAGCAGAACAGTTCGTATATAATGCAATAAATCAATCTTAAACAACAAATATATGTATTTATTTCGTATCAAAAAAAAAGTGAGAAACTTATGGAACATCCTAATATTTTTAAAATAATTAAGTTTAAAATAATTTACGTTTATACAAATATATATTTTTATAACAATTCTAAAAAAATTAATTTTTTAAAAAAATTATAATAAATTTTCTTTAATTACATTTTAAAAATTTCGATCAATCAACATCGTATTGAAGAAATTTTTCATCTAATATTTGATGAAATTGCAAGCTGGGTATTCATTATGCAATTTATATTCGAAATATAAAAGCAAGTGATCAATTAACAAATATTTTATTTCATTATTGACATTCTAGATATTTCTAGATATATATCTGAATTTGTTATATTCGAAGCTATGTAAATAATATTTACATTATTATATTATTTTTAGTTATTATTAATGAAAATATATTTTAAAATAATAAATTAAGAAATAAATTACGTAATTAAATAAATTTAGAAATATTAAGTATACTAAAATAATACTTTACATTGTCATGTCTCTATATTTAGATTTAATAAAATGCTAAAAGAAAAAACATGCAGAGAAAGATAAAAGAAACTTATTATACAAATATATATATGATTCTTTTTTGTATGATGCAGTTACCATGTCTTATATATCGCTTATTTGGCAGAATTATATCTCTCAATATGTAATTCCATAAAAAAGAACATTTGCTACTTTGAAAAAATATATGAAAAAAAATAAAATATTTTAAAATAAAAAATATAAATATAAAAAAAATGTCTTGAATAATCTTGTTATTATTATCATATTTGTTTTTTTAATATTGATCAAATAGTGTTTTTTCTTTTTTATCATTAACAATAGATGTCATTAAATATTAATTGTAATGATAGAATGTTTATTAATAATAAACAGTGTTAATTTTTTTTAAATTTTTCTTTTCTATCTAATGTATGCAGGAAGGGATCGCAACTTATCGTAAAAGATAATTAGAACCTAAACGTGGAAAATGTATTCTCTTTTATTAAAATTGGCGATTTATATACAATTTCTTGTTAAATATTTTAAAAATTCATTTTTTCTATACATATATTCCATTATGCATTATTTATTTCAGGCTTTAGGTACTGAACAAGGATCTACAATATTCATAAAATGTTTCCCTTATTATATTGCTGCAAATTGCGAAGCGTTCATTCTTTGTTATACTGGAGAATATCTTATGTTTAAGGTAAAATAACAAATAAAATTAAATACATTATTAACTATTTCTTATATTTTGAAATAAAAATTATGTTATTTATGTATTATTACGTTATACTTCTGAAAAAATATATATATATATTCGATGATCTTTATATGAATTTCATTATAAATTTCTGCATAATCTATGTTATTTTAATAATATAGAGTGTTTTAAAATAATAAATTAATTTTACAAAAGAAACAATAAATAATTATGATATGTATATTTATGATATCATAATATATTAAATGAAACATTTCTTCGAATCTGTTTTACTTTTTCTTAAAAAGTTTTAAACACATAAAACAAATTTTATCATAAAAAATGTTTAATTTTTAACGTTTCATCATTCTTATTGTAAACAATTTAAAGCAAAATTGCAATCAAAATACAGAATGTAAAAAGTGTTGAAAACTTGGAGATTGATTCTCTCAAAGATTTTTTTTTTTGTCAAAAAATATTTTATGATATAACTTATACTTTAACATGCATGCAAATTTTCATTAAAATCAGAATTATTGGGTTAATCCCCCAATATATGTGATCAATTTCATGAATTACTATAAATAGAATACTTTGCATTTTCTTTGTTCCTCTTTTTCATATGCTAAATGTCACAAAATTAAAGTTAAAATATCTTTTATACAAATATTTTAAATAATTTTTTACTAAATAGTTTAATAGTCTTTTTATATATCAGAAATTAATCTATTTAATATATATAGCTAATTAATATATTAAAAAATAAATATAAAGTAATTTATAAAAATTCCATTTAATAAAATAAAATTACTTTTCATATATTCGATTTGAAAAAAATTATTTAATTTATTATCATTGATATTCTTTTCAAATTGTGATAAGGTTAATTCAAAACATTTTTTTTAATCGTGAGATAATTATAAAGTATAATATTTGTTCTATTATATTATCAAAAAATATTTTAAATGAATTATATTAAAAAGAACTCATCAAATAAATGCAATTTCATTTTTTTACATTTATTATTGAAATCAAAGGCTGACCGATAAAAAAGAAATCATCAATATTCATCAATATTCATAATGTGATAACTTTGAGTTAATCTTGAATTTCAAAATTGAAGAAAATATTATTTAGTATAATTATTTCACTTTTAATGTTTTTATTATTAATGACTCAATTCATTATGCATTAACTTTGGAAAAAATTTTTAATAATTATTTTCTAATTTTTGAATTGATCGAAATGGATCTATTAATTGATCATAAAAAATTAAATTCATTAGACATTTTTTTGTATAAGTGATATTAAAAATTATTATTTATTACAATGCAATAAGCATTCAAAAAGATATATCATAACGTATTGAAAAAACGATAAATTTATGTCAAGAAATTATATCGTATACGCTCAATTATTCGAAAATTATAATTAAAATTAAAATAAACTATTTTTTCGAAAATTATTCGAAAATTAAAATTAAAATAAACTAATTTTAAATACATATTATGACAAAAAATAATAAAACAATTACATTCAACATTTTCTTTGATTTTGAAGATCAAAGTTAACTCAAGATCACAATATTATAAATTATTGAATTTTTTTTCATCAACTTTAATGTAATATTAAACATTGTCTTTAAAAAAATTCATTTTATTCAAATGATTACTTTCAATAGTACTTTTTATTGACTTGCCTTGATATTTCCTTCCCTCAATCATTAATTTTCTTCTGCTATTAATTTTTTTCAGAATGAAAGTATTGTTCACGCAGCATATAACACGCTTTGGTACAATTTAAATCCACGGGACAGTCGAATTGTATTATTAATTTTAATACAAGCTCAAAGAAAATTGATACTTTCAGCTGGGAATTTTGTGACGCTTTCTGTCCAAACATTTGCTAGTGTGAGATTATTATAATATCAAATATCATTATTTTCGAGATATTCACAATTATAAGAATATATTTTTGAATATCTAATAATTATTACTAAAAATTAAGAAAAATCTAATCATTATTGAAAACTTTTTTTATTATTTAATTTATAATATAATTAATTTTTTAGATGCAGAAAGTTTCGGCTTCGTACATCTCAATATTAATGACGATATATTAAAAAAAACAATGACGCCATATCACTGAACTTATGCGTGCCTACCTATTATATATTATAAAGAGTAATATTAAATAAAGAAAGATATAATTTTAAAAAATCTATTAATTATTCAAATTTTAAAACTTCTATTTAAAATTACCGCTAAATATTCATTTAATGAAATTTTTAAATATCACATTTTAATAACTCAAGGTAAATATCGCATATTGTATTTGATGTAAAATTAGACATAGAACTGAAATTATAAGAAAATTGTAATTGCAAGCAAGAATATATTCTGTTATTGCTACAAACAAATAAAAGAGATTATTTTTCTTTTCTAAAATAAAACAATTATGGTAATAATAACTTTTTTAGTCTTTATGTTTTCTGCTTAAAAATTATTTGTGTAATAATACTCAGATAATTTTATTTAATTGATAACTAAATTGAGAAGAATTAGGACACTGTAAGTATTCAAATATGCAACTATTAAATCCCATTAATCTACATTCAAAATATATTTTATTTCATCTGTTATTATTGTGACATTATTCGAAAAAACTTTAATTATTTTTTAACTTAGATTTGATTCACAAAAATAATTAATTAAGGAATGAAATTTTATTGATAAAATAGATCTTTTTGCTAAGGAAAATATCTAGTGAAATTGCAAAATCAATTTTTTTTTTAATAGAAAAGCAAAATAATTTGAAACACTGAATAATGACGATCATCTTTCCTGCCGTTTAATATATAACGTAATTAATCTATGGAATTGCAAAGCGTCATTAAATACTATTGCCTTCGCTATACGTTATGTTATTTTTATACATAATATATAGGCCACGAAACTTAAAATATTTCAACTTTTTTTTTTTATTTTTTACGACAAATATGAACGAAAAAATTTTGAATTATTTATTTTTCAATAATATTACATCATGATTATTGTAGAAATTAATTTTTGTATAAAAATGTTTTATCAAAAAATAAATAAAAGTACTTACAATATAATCCGGCTAGTATGTCAATCGTTATAAATGAAATTATTCGATGCATTGATCTATTTCAATGTTTCTCAACTGAACATAGAAAGTAAGATATAAAAAATTTTAAAGTAATTTAAGCAGGATCATTCGATCAAACTTTCTACGATTGATATAAGTATAAGAAAGAAAAGAAAATTGTAAGAGAAGGGACAAATGATAGCTAATCAGTGGTATTATCGTTGCAACTTAATTTAATGACTGAATATTATGTTGGATAATGACATCAAGATAATAGATATTGATCATAATAAGAACTGTTAGTTGCTTATAGACGTTGTTGAGTGTTAGTGTACCATTCGAGGAAGAAACATTCAAACAAGAACAAGTTATTTAATACCAAAGTTGATATGAGAAGATAAAAAAAGAACAGAAATTTGTAAAGATAATATAATACAATATATATAATATAGATATGTGTTAAGTGTATACGTGTTCTTAAAGAAAAATTTTTTTTTTAAATTGCATGTAAGGTATTAGAAACTGTAATGGCACTTAAAACTATAATTACCTATCCTATAGAAGTTTGCCTGCGTTTAATCGGTGTTTGGCCATATTCTTCGTATAGAATTGTACAACGTGTTTTTTGGATAATCGTAATGGGTATCTCCATAGTGTTTCAACTTTGGTATTGTATTTCTTATTTTAAAACAGCAGATTTACCTGATCTGTTAGATGGCATAACTGTGACTTTGTCAAACACAATCACGTTCATTAAGTTGATTATTCTTTGGTTTAATTATCGGTAAGATATATGTATATCTATGTATGTTATTATAAATATGATTAATCATCACCTTTAATCATAAAATAGTTAACGATGCAAATTAATGATGTAAGATACAATGTAAAGATAAAAATTGTTTAGCTATTAATTTTTGTGTATTATTTATTTGATTTATTATTATAATTATTTTTTATTATGCAATTTTACTATTTTTGTTTATTTCATTTATTATAATTTTTTTCAATGTATTGTCAAATATATCAATACATTTTTTTTTTAAATTTTTATATATATTGAGATTTTACTTTCATATTTATGAAACATTTTAATAAATGTTATTAATTTCTAATGATTAAAAATTATTTTATACAGCACACTTCACAATATACTAATAGTTGTATTTGAAGATTGGAATAATCGTGCTCTTACTAATCAAAAAAAACAGTTTATGATAGACAATACCTATTTATGCTCTCGTATTTCGAATTTTTTATTTGGCATTTATTCGATGACATGTATCTTATATTCGGCAAGTACTATGCTGATTTCGGACAATGCTGATAATATTAATAATCAATTGATTTTGAACAATAAAAAATTATTGCTTAAAATGAAGTTTCCCTTCAATTTTACGATTTTTCCACTTTATGAATTCATTATAGTTGCACAATTTCTATTTGAATATTCTGTAGCTTTCACGGCTGGGATGTTAATGGCATTTTCTGCAGCATTAGTAAGTTGATTATTTTTAATTTTTATTAAAAATATTATAACTATTATTTTGTACAATCAAAAAATTATTATAGAACAAATTGATTATTTTTATTTCGATGAATATGACCGTTTGTGATAATGAACTTTTATGTGCAAAATGTTCCAGAAATCAACCAATAAATCTCAAATAATGATTTCCTAAGATAATATCAAACAATTTTTTCATTTATAAAAATTTCTTCGTTTTAACTTTGTTAAAGAATTTAATTTTGAACAAATCATTGAATTTTGAACATGTGTTGAATTTAACCATTAACTAAATATATATGTATATTCAATATTTTTATTGCGACGCAATAATCTATATATATTTTGTGATTGATTAATATTTTTCATTAATAACTCGTTAACAAAATTGAAAATTTTTGCAAAAAAAAAGTTGTTTGAAATCACACAAAAATTATCAATTAAAATTTATCGGTTGACTTCGAGAATATTCTGTTATAATCTATACCAATATTTCTCAACCAATATATCACGATAAACTAAATGTCCCTAGAATATCTGAAATGTATAAAAATTTAATGAAAACTTAAACATAAGGATATTCAATATTTGTTAATATAAAGTTAATAAATATTATATAATTACATATACTGATTTAAGAAAGTATTTAAATGAAAGTATTTCAAAATTTCGTCGTTAAAAAAATATACTATTAACTTAGCAATAAAAATATATACATGAGATTTAAATTTTGAAAGTACTATTTATAATTATTCTAAGATATTAAATATTAAGATGTATGTATGAATTTTTTTTTAATAAGACATCACTGAAAGAATATTTTTTTAGTATTTTTAGTATTAAATATATTTTAGTTTTTAATATTTCTAAAATATAACTATATCGTAATGATACGTACAGATAGAGCAACTTTAAATATATAAATTAATCAAATTTAAACTTTATTTTATTATTCAATTGTAAAACATATTGTAATAACAAAATTAAGTTAAAAATTACTAAACAAAATTGTAATAAAAAAATAAAGAAATGCTAAAATTTGATAGATTTCAATGTCAATTTTTGAACAAGATTTTTCATAAAAAAAAAATTATTTTATTTATAATGTATTATATTCTCTACTCTTGCTACATATACATAAATTTTTATTTAAATTAGAATTTTTAATTAGAATAAATTTTTTTGTAATATAGTATTCGAATACTTTCATAAATATTTATATAAATATATATATTTTTATTATAATATAATAAATATATTATAAATAGTATATGTACATAACTAATAATAGAATTGAAAATTGTAATTCATAGATAATACGATTAATGTGATGATAAAAATTCTTATTACATTTTAAATGTGCAGATATGTTATAAATAATTTTATATTTCATGTTATATTTAATATATTATTTTTTAAAATAATAAACTATAACAGATGTATTATCATTAAATAAGTAAATAAAAATTTTCCTCACAATAATGTATTGGGAAATATTGGTTTATACATTGTGAATATAAACACAAAAACAATATTTATATTTTTATTTTATTTTCAAATCTTATAAATTCACTCAATGATTTATATAATTAGCATAATTGGTGATTATTAAAAATTAAATGAAAATATTAAAATTTTTTATTATAAAAACAATTGAATTAAATTCTATTGTATTAGTTGTATTATTATATGAAATAAAAAGTTAAATCAATTTGATATGATCAAATAAATTTGTTGTGAAGCATATATTTCTTACAATTTTCTTATAATAACGTCTATTTATTTTAGATTTCTGAAACGTTCCGAATTTGATTATAATTTTTGCATTTGATTTATATATTTTATCTTTCCTCATAATTTTAATAATTACATTATTTTATGATAATTATAATAATTGTTATTTTAAAATACTCTATATTCCAATATAGAGATCGTATAAAATGATTATAAAACAATTTAAAAATATTAGTTATCTTTTTTTCATTATTATTATATATAGGTATTACATATAGGTAGTCAAATAGATATCACATGTCAAGAACTTATTGAGATATCAAGCTATAAAGAAGAAATATCATATATGTTGAAAAATATTATTGTCAAGCATCAAAGAATTCTTCGTTTATCTGAAAATGTTAAATATTTATTTCTATATACATCATTGATACAATTTTTATCAAATATTTTAGTGATATGCTTTCTAGGATTTATTCTTGTAAATGTGAGTCAATTTGATTTATAATTCTTGTTACATTTCTTAATTATTTAAGGATTATCACAAATGTAAATCGCTAATTTTTATAAAATTTATATTTAATATATTTCTAAAAAAATTGATATATATATATATATTTTTTTTAAATTTGTATCAAAATCCACAGAAGTCAAAACACAAAGAAGTATAAATACAATATATATTTAGAGATTAAATAAATATTTCAGAATATTTAAATTTAGAATAATTTATATTTACTAATTAATTATTTTTAAATAATCTGTAAATTAGATAATTCTAAAAAAATTCATTTGTTTAAAAAAATCATATGATGAATTTTCTTTAATTATTTTTTACAAAAAATTTTCTATAGGGTTTTTAAAAAAATCTAAATTTCTAAAGCGAATATGCAAAATAATCAAATATTTGCACTATGACCAATCTAACATCGTATTGAAGAAATTTTTCAACTAATACTTTTACATTTAATATCATTGAAATGTAAAAACATATTTTAATATCGAAATGATTGATCAGTTAAAAAATATTCTATTTCATTTATTTTCAAATATATCTGAATTTGTTATATTCAAATTTATAAATGATATTTACATTATTATGTTGCTTTTAAATTCAGTTATTATTAATGTAAATATATTATAAAAAAATAAACTAAAAAATAAATCATATACAATCACGTAATAATAAAATAACTTAAAAATATTTAAAAAATATTTTGCATTGCATGTGATGTTACACATTTAAATTTAACAAACAAAAAAGTGCTAAAAGAAAAAAGCATGCAGAAAAAGACAAAAGAAATTTATAATTTTTTTTCTATAATATTTTTATTAGTTCCATAAAAAAAACATTTATAACATTGAAATTTAAAAAAAATTTATAAGTGTCTTGAATAATCTTTTTGTTTAGCATCATATTTATACTTTTAACTTAGTAATTTTTTTTATTATTAATTATTAGTCATTTTTATTATTATTATTAATTTTCTATTATTAACAATAGATATGATTGAATATTAATTATAAAGATTGAATATTTATTAATAATATAAATCCTATTAATTTTTTAAACTTTTCTTACCTAATATATGCAGAAAATTATTTGAATATGACAAAAAAATAATTGAAATTTATATTACTTATAATTGAAGTTTAAAAAAAGTAAAAAAAATGTTTATATTATTATATCAAAATCGGCGATTTATATAAGGTTTTTTTAATAGATATTTTACAATTTTCATCCAATTTTCAATATATATTCTGTATTATCATTTATCATTTCAGGCTTTAGGTACTGAAAAAGGATCTACAATATTCACGAAATGTTTCCCTTATTATGTTGCTGCGAATTGCGAAGCGTTTATTCTTTGCTATACAGGAGAATATCTTATATTTAAGGTAAAATACATACTATAATTAAATAACATTGACTAATTGTTTAATTGTTACATTTTGAATTGAAAATTATTTTATGTACACCATATAAATTATCTTAAATGAATTTTATTAATTTTTGTATTATATGTATTAGCAATATACATATAAAATGTTTTAAAATAATGAATTAATTATATAAGAGTAATAATTTAATTATGATAAATGAAATATTTTTTATTCAATTTTACTTTTTTCCAATACCGTTCAAATATATAATATAGAGGAAAATTTGATGATAGAAATTTTGCATTTTTGAATTTTATTATGAGATTTATATAGTAAATACAGAAGCAGATCGGAAGCTATAATAAGCATAATTCTATAATTACACGCACGTATGTAATGATTATAGAACAACATTTTTCTGAATCAATTTTCAATGAACTCATCGTTCACAAACTCACAAATAGATAATATAATAATTTTTTACGTGTTTTATCTCGTTTATTCAACATTTTATTTATTATTTTCTATTTTTATCTAATTTGTTTAAAATTTTAATCTGTATTATATATTATTAGCAAATTTTATAATTATTTTTGAAAAGAAAAATTTTTATGCAGAAAATTGAGAAACTTAATTAAAATCTTGAATTAATTAAAAAGAAAAAATAATTATTATTTTATTGAAAAATTTCAAATGAATTATATTGAATAAATTATATTAAAAAGCATTTAACAAATGAATGCAGTTTCAAGAAAAATATATTTTTTTTTAGAGCATTATAATCGATGAAAAGAATAATTCACCGATGTATAATGATGATTTTAAGTTGATCTTGAATTGAAAAAAATGTTATAATTTATTAAATTGAATTTTTTTTTTCATAATTACAATATTAAATATTGTCCTTGAAAAATTTGTCATCATTGATATCTATTTAGAAGATTTTTTTATAACATCATTATTTTAATATTTTTTATTTTATATATATATATATATATTTTTATATATTCTTTAATTTTTTTTTTAGAACGAAAGAATTATTCAAGCTGCATACGACATGCTTTGGTACAATTTAAATCCGCGAGACAGTCGAATTGTATTGCTGATTTTAATACAAGCTCAAAGACAATTGACACTTTCAGCTGGAAATTTTGTGACGCTTTCTGCTGAAATCTTTGCTAGTGTAAGATTATTATAAAATAAATATCATTATTTACAATACATTCAAAATTATAAGAATGTATTTGTAATTTTTAAATAATTTTAATAATTGTTACTAAAAATTAAGAAAAATCTAATAATTATTAATCAATTAAAATAATATAATTAATTTTTTAGATGCAGAAAGTTTCGGCTTCGTATATTTCAATATTAATGGCGATGTATTAAAAAAAATAACTGCGTTGTATCACTGAACTTGTTATGCGAATATTATAGAGAGTAATGTTATATAAATAAAGACATAAATGATTTCAGAAGCTCTTTAATTATTCAAACTAAGACTTTAAAATTTCTACAATTTAAAATTATTGTATTCGTTTAATGAAATTTTTAAATATGAATATCCTATTTAAATATAATGTTTCCCTTATTAGAATATCTCTTTTTAATATCTTAAGGTAAATATTGTATATTGCATTCGATATATATAGTTAAATATAAAAGTGAAATTGGAGAAAATTAGAGAAATTGTAATTGCAAGCAAGAATATATCTTATTATTACAAATGGAAGAGATTATTTTTTTTCTTAAAATAAAACAAGACAATTATTGATAATAAATTTTCTTGTTTTTATCTTTTCTTCTTAGAGATTATTTGTGTAATACTCAATAATCAATACTCAAATAATTTCATTTGATCGATAATCACATTGAGAAGAATTTAATACAGTGGACACATAAATATATATATATGTTAAAGACATTATATTGCAATCTGTATGATTTTATTTCATCTTTTTTAATTAACATTTTATCTTTTTATATCGTGTAATGTTATATTATTTATTTGAATGATGAATAAATTCGATTTATTCGTATCCAATGTTACTATGATTAGCATTTCGATTGATCAGTATTTTCTATTAATAATTTATTAACAAAATTTTGTAACGAAAATTTTTGTAATGGAAATTTTTGCTTAAAATTACATCAAGAATCTTCAGTTAATATTACTATTCTGAGATATCCTATGTAATATATATTTATAAATAGAAATTTAAATTTGCCTTATTAAATGAGAACAACGTTGTAATAGAAACAAGACAATTTTACTTTATTAGTTTTTCTTTTCTCTAACGCAAACTTCTATTGCTTACAACTTAATAGATAAATTTTAACGGATATTTTCATATATCAATTATTCTATTTATATCGATTTCTAGAATCGATTCTTCAATTTTTGTATTTTTCATATTTCTTTGAGCATAAAAATTTAATATAAAGTTAGCAATGAATATATATATCGTACAATATTAAAATCATAATATTTAATATAGTGAAAACTCTTATTAAAAATGGAAAAATTAATGGAAAAAGCAATAAAAGAAAATATTGAAAAAACTATTATTATATTGTGTAAAACACCATATAGATTGCTATAATATAATGATATTAATATAATGAAATGATTTTAATATGATAAAAATATTAATAGTAAAGAAAATATAATACACGTAAATCTCACACAACCAGAAACATTTTCTATCGTATTCAAGATATTTGAAAAAGAGTTTCAATAGTTTGTAGCATAATATAAGAATGTAATCTTATACAATTATTTAATATTTAAAAATTATGTATTTTAATTTTTTAGTCAAATAATATAAGATTCTTAAATATTAATATAAACAACAAATTTTATTTCTATTTGAATAAAGTATATTTAATATAAGAGGATATTATTTACAGCCAAAAGAAAATGAATCTACTTGAAAAAAAATTAAAAATACACATTTTTTCGTATTCTGTTTTATTTTCGAATAAATCGATTGACATATAAACTTGACTGTATTATATTTTTTTTTTTTGAATATATATATATAAATTTATCATCATCATTTATCATTATTTCTTATTATTCTTTCAAATTTTTAATTAATAATATTATTCTTTTTATCAAAATGATGACACAGTGAGAATCAAGGATGTATCGACATATGTATCTTATTTAAATTACTGATATCCGGATAGATTAATGATTAAAAAAAATTAAATGAAAAAATATCACTTTATCTTTTTGATTTATTTTTTAATAAAGATTTATCTCTTTGGCTTACACTATTATTTCGATAACATGTAAAAAAAAAGGGATTCTATCATTCAAAGATTTTCTTATTTGATTGTTTTATTTTCTTATTAATACTGAAGAACTAATATTTTTATATTTCTATTTATTATTATTATTTTTAATTTATATATTTTATTTAATAACGTAAATATACATTAATTGATCTATAAATCATCTCATTTTTAATGATTAACTGAAAGTCTAATATATAGATATGTATAATTATTTATGTTTACCTCAATTTACATCTGCTATTCTGAAATAAAAAATTAATAATAATGCAACAAGACACGACTTGATCTTGAACTTGAATATATATTTTTATATAACACAGCACAGTATGTAATATACAATTAATTAATGCAATCAAACTTATTACATAGTATAATGTTTTATCCATTTCTAACCATCTGCTGCAATGTATATCTCTTTTAGAAAGAAAGTCAGAAAAGGGGAAAGATGTGCAATTTGTATATTGAAGATTACATCCACAAACATTATTTTTCAAATGTGTTACGTTTATGAGTAATATTGCGTGATACTTTCCCTTTGCACCTGTTCAATATCACAAATTGTGCCAATATATAATGCAACCAATAATTATTATCTTCCACTCAGGTATTATCTTTGACTGCAGCACAAAACTTATTTCCTAGATTATTCTTTTTTGAAGTGTTATACTGACTATGATTTATTAAATTCTTTGTGCATACAAAATAATTTTATTTACGGGCAACATCTGCAATGATTCAGTTGTTTTCGAGGTAATGCAATAGTACTTTATCATCCAACAATCGTATCGCTTTATTCTAATTTAATTCTTCTTCATTCATAAAGCATAGTTCGTTTCTTGAAATTATGTTGAAAAAAGTGACACCAGAAAAAGTAATTTACATTATTCGACTCAGCGTAGCTATATGTTGTTGTTGGCCACGTTCTTTCAATAGTACCAAATATCAAATTTTCGGTTTCAAAGTTTTACAAATCAGTACCATAATTAGCGCCTTTATGGTGTTCCTGCCTTTGTTGTATTCGATTTATTTGCACAATGACAATATCATCCATGTTTTCAAATGCATCTGTTTGTCAGTAGGTATTACTCAACTTATTGTCCAAACTCTTATATGTTTCATCAAACACAATTCATTACAAGTAAGTTCTTATTTAACTTCTCTCAATATTAGAATGAGAAATATAAAATATATGATGTACATATGATAACAAAAAAAAGGATTGAATATGTTTAGATGAAATAATATTTTACTTTATTTAAAAAAATGTAGAATTATTTAAAATCGTCCTCTCTAGAATAATATTTGATTGTTAAAAAGAAATATAAAAATGACAATTAAAACTTATTCATTAAATTATGAATGATTGAAATTTGTATTAGATAAAACGAAATAAAAAGCGAGACTGTTATATTACTTTCATACTTTGTTTCTAACATGAATTTAAATTATATATTATAATTTAATAAATAAATTTTAATTGACATTTTTGTTTTCTGCAATCAATTTTTATGTTTATTTTAGCAATTTAATATATTAGCACGAGATACATTAGAATTTTTTTTATTTATTTGTATTACTTTTCTTATCATATTCTTCCATATTCTGTAACAACTATATTTTTTCAAAAAATAAATGATAATAAATTTATCTTTTCTTGAATTTAAAACATTCAGTCCTTTTTTATCCACATCATATTTGTAAAATTATGAATTATTGTATTTTTATCATATTTATTATATTATTAATATTTATAATTCATTTCATTGTATGTTTTGTATATTTGAATTATATTTTGATATTCTGCACTCTTTGTATTATTCATATATTTTTAATAATAATTTAAGTCAATAATTAAATACAATAGTATCAGTTAGAAGCAATAACAATATGAATATTTGATGCTGTATATTAAAATATTTATTTTAATCTAAATTAAATAAAATATAAAATTAATAAAAATATAAAATTAATATAAATATAAAATTTCATAAATTTATTTTATGAAATATTAAATGAATTATTTAATTACAAATACTTTCTATAAACCATTTATTTTCTATGAAATACTTCATAAAATATTTGTATTATTTCAAAAATAAACTATTTCTTATATATAATTTTACAAAATTAATTTTAAAATAATATATAATTATAATATATAATTTGAAAATTTCTTAAAATGTCTGGTTTTTTCAAATAAGAATAAAGTTACAAAACTTTGAAATTTAACAATTTGTCAATAATATTCAAATAAGATAATTATTAATAAAAATATATTTAACTTTGATTTTTTAATATTGTTAAGATTATCACTCTGAATAATGTTGTGAAGATTTTACTTGGAAATCGTTGTAATAATTCTTATTAAAAAATTATTAACAAAAACTTTTTTCAAAACAGTTTAGCTTAAATCAAATTAATTTTAATTGGATTTACAGACAATTAATGGTTATATTAACTCAAAAATTAACTCAAATTCAGAAAAAAATCGACTAATAATTAAATAAGTTTTGTTATCTAATTCAGATTTAAAATAAAATGAAACTTAGAATTAACTAAATTAATTAATGTCATACAAAAATTTATTTAATTTCTAGTTTTATGTTTATATTAGATTTTGGATTAATAACTTTTTAATAAATAATAATTTCAATTTACTATAATTTAAATTATTTTTATTAATAATTTTTTCATAAATAACAATTATCAAGTAAAAAAATTTTCATTTCATTATTCAATAATCTTGATAACATATTAAAAAATCATCAAGATCGAAGGATCTTTTGTAAATATATTTTTTGTAAATATTTATTTCAAATATTTCTAATTTATCGATCAAAGATTTTTTTATTATAAATAATTATATAATCTCGCTAAAATTATACCAATTTAAAATGATTTAAATTTAAAGTCTAAATGATTAAATTAATTCAATTAAATTATTTTAATTAAATGAAAATACATTCGTATCATGATATAACATCATCATTCTTGTAAATTATTTATACATAATTACTTATGTATATATATAAATTTATCTTTACTGGATTTCAAGATTCGAGAACTCGAAATTTTTGGAATCTCAATTTTTCGATTCAAAAATCAAATTCCATAAAAATTAAAAAATGATTTATAGATCACATATCTATTGTTTTCATTTTAACCACTGATT